CTGGAATTATTCGGTCATGGTTCTTTAACAGTATGACAACCATTACATAATAAATCCATCGCTATGAGATTTTCTACATTTTGTTTTAGGTTTGCTACCAAAAATGAAATATAATAAAACAATTTTTTTTTATTTTTTTTTAGTTCACTACCACTGTCTTTTGATGACAATGCAGAAAGTGAAATACAGTGAGGGGGAAAAAAAGTATTTGATCTCCTGCTGATTTTGAATTTTGGTCACTGAAAGAAATGATCAGTCTATAATTTTAATGGTAGGTGTATTTTAACAGTGAGAGACAGAATAACAAAACAAAAACAAAAAAAATCCAGAAAAACGCATGCCAAAAAGTTATAAATTAATTTTCATGCGAATGAGTGAGCACTCTCTTAAAGGGAGTGCTCCTAATCTCATCACCTGTATAAAAGACACCTGTCCACAGAAGCAATCAATCAGAATCCAAACTCTCCGCTAAGGATTTGCATAGGCAAAAATTCAGTTCGGTTCGGCACTTCCCTTACCCTACCCCTAACCCTAAAGGTTAGCAGTAGAGTTAGAGTTAGGGGTAGGTCAGTGGTGTATCCTGGTTTTGTGCTGCCCTAGGCATGACAAAACTCAGGTGCACCCCCCTGCACACCTCCTACCTTGCCTTCTAAATACACACACATTCACTGACAGACACGCATACACTAGCTAACAGACACACACATTCACTAACAGACATACATACACTCTCACTAACAGACACACACATAGTAACACTACCTAACAGACACACTCCCTGACATACATACACACACACACACACACACACTCACTAACAGACACACACTCACTTTTTTTAAATTCAATCCCCCCAGCCTCCTTACCTTTGGAAATGCTAGGGGGGGTTCTCCCTTTCCCTGGGGTCCAGTGGGGCTGCTGGGCGGGCGGCACTGGCAAGGGAGCACTGATGACGTCATATTCCGGCTTCCGGCATCACTCTGTGGCGTGTGAGGGAGCTGAGCAGAGAGCTCAGGGGAAAGTGCTCCCTCGCCAGCACCGCCCGCCCGCCCAGATTTTTAGTTAGCTGCCAGGCTAACAAGACATTTACCTGGGCATTTGAGGGTGGCTTTTTTTGCTGCCCCCTGGAAAGTGCCGCCCAAGGCATATGCCTTGTTTGCCTCACTGCTAATACGTCCCTGGGATAGGGTTAGATTCCGGTCATCATTCCCTTAATTTTCCCTCCCTCTCCTGTTTTGGCACTATTCAGAAATCTGCTAAGGGGACAAGACAACTGCACCACATCAAAGGGACGATGGACAGGGCCATGTACCATCAAATCTTGGGTGGGAACCGGTCATGATCTTGTGCAGGTCAGGGATGAGACTGAAACTGGGGTTAATTTTAGGGTCTTTATTTGCTATCTTAGACATTCTAGTAAGAACAGGATATGCTATTATTGTAGTTATAGGAATGAAAGATAGTGAACAGAACAGAATGTCTGAATTTATAGGGAAATAAGTAGCCTAAGAAATAAAGGATTTAGACAACAAGACCAAAGTGGAAATAAGGTAAACCTATAAAAAAAAGTTAAGGGAAGGAGAATTAAAGATAAACCTATAAGAGAGATGATAGGTACAATATTGAGGAAAAATAGGAAACAGGATTTAGACAATATGCCCCAGAACAGGATATAAAGAAATAACTAAACAAAACTAGACAGAAATGTAATAAATACTTTAATAGGGTTGTAGTTGTTCAGTCTCTTTGGATAAGAGGTTATGTTGTAGTAGCAGGTCCTTTTTGATAGATGCAAATATAGTTTGCAATATCAGTAAATCCAATGTAGGAATAACATAGATAGCCACAAAGTAAATTAGAGTCCAGTGTTGTTTTAAGCAAGCTGAATATTCAGCAGGAATATAGGGAGTTCGGGTTGGTTTGCTGCAGGTTTGTAGATAAGGCAGGAATTAACATATCTACAGGTAAGTTTGGAGCAGGTTGGTGAGTACAGCAGGTTATGAAGCCAATAAGGAAAATCCACAGGTTAACTCCGGAGCCAGAATATGACGTTTTTTCAGGCCATCATCAACTTCAGTGTCAAGGCAAAGTGGTGAGTTGGGTCTTACCTTTTGTAGGAACCCAAATTAGTCCAGGCAGGTGAGCATGATAAGGTGAGTGGTCAAACTAGAGGCAAGGGAGGCCACTAGTGGTAAAACAAAATCAATGTAGAAACTTGTATTTTTAAACAAACAGGATATACATAACAAATGTCTTGCTTGTAAGGACAGGATCCTGACAGAACCTCCTTCCCTCAGCCAGGGCATTGAAAATGGGTCATGGATGGGTATTCAAAGGAGTAGCTCAAGAGGAAGCACATTAAGGTCCTGGAGTGGCCTTGCCAGTCTCCAGACCTTAATCCCATAGAAAATGTGTGGAGGGAGCTGAAGGTTCGAGTTACCTAATGTCAGCCTCAAAACCTCAATGACTTGGAGAGGATCTGCAAAGACAAGTGGGACAAAATACCTCCTGAGATGTGTGCAAACCTGGTTGCCAACTACAAGAAACGTATGACCTCGATTGCCAACAAGGGTTTTGCCACCAAGTACTAAGTTGAATACTTATTTCACTCATTGACATGAAAATCAATTTATAACTTTTTTGACATACATTTTTCTGGATTTTTTATTTTGTTATTCTGTCTCTCACGGTTAAAATACACTTACCAATAAAATTATAGACTGATCATTTCTTTGTCAGTGGCAAACAATCAAAATCAGCAGGGGATCAAATACTTTTTTCCTCACTGTATATTTTTGAATGGATAATTATGTACGCGATGTAGAAATTATTATACTATTTTACTCACTGCTTTGTTTTTATTACGTTGATCATTTTTTAAAATTTTGTTCTTGACACTTGCGACACTTTAATGCTTTGTCATAATTTTCTTTGCCAGATATCTATACACTCAGATTTAGTCACCGTGACGAAAAGACAAGGACAAATTTAGGCTAAAATAGTTGACCGGATTGAAATCACTGAGTTAGATAAATTTGACTATTTTGGCCTGAAATTACTAATTCCCTAATAATAACCATCAGGGTTTTAGAAAAAACATCATGGATTTTCACTAAACTGGGAATTGTGAGGAATTGACTGGGCAATTTAAAATTTTACACCAAAATAGACAAGTTGTAGAATATTTTCCACCTTTGTAATTCCTTGGTCCATTCACAACAATAGCCATTAAACCAGTCTACATGCCCCCCGGTTTTCTGATTTTAGTGTTTGCATTCTGCCAATTATCTATATATGATTAGTTAGTCCTAGATTGTATTCTTACAGACTACTGCAGCTTCTGCCTTTTGTTAACAACTATTTATACCAAATTTGTGAAACTATTAAATAGTAAAATCAAAATAAAATAAAAAAAAATGCAATCAAGCGGCTAATAAAAAAACAAAAACTAGTAGCAAAGAATCAAGTCTGATTCCTTTCTTAGAACCGGACATCATTGTTTTATTAATCTACATATGTAAAATATATGTATAATTTATCACTTCTGGACAATTTGTGGGTACTGTTGCACATTCAGTGCTGATTTTATTTCCCGTGTTTCCACAGCTAATCCAAGGACAGCAAACAGGATGCTAAAAATACACTAGAATATGTTTTTGCAGGTGTTACAGCTTGATTCAAACACAGAAAATATTAATTGAAGAAATGCACATTTTTTAACGTTGCTTTTTAGAAAAGTTACATTTCCTCTTGATTTAGGTGACGGTGATCAGGCTAGTGACAGATCTGGATTTGTTCCATCCTGTTTAGTGTACAATTCAATCATTTCCAGATTGGCACGTCAGGGAAGGAACTGGGTGCTGTGATCATTTTTTAAGCCATAAATTGGCTAGAGGGATTGGATGGCAATGCCATTTCATCTCATGTGCACTTCCCAATGTGCTCAGCAATAAAGAAAACAGACTGCTTATCTCCTTTGCTTTGCTATGAACCTTGTTGCCCAAACCTTATTTTTCAAAACATACAAAACAATTACAAACATTATAATTATTAGTTAGGGAAGTACACCTGGGCAAATCAGTTTGTTGTTGTCTCTTGCACTTAAACAAAAAATCACTACATTTCACAGTGCCTGGATCTATCATTGTAAAATAAAATATATGTACAAGCTGTTTCTTATAAATGGGGAGCTACTCATTGGCTAGAGCTTCATCTGACCACTCTAAGCCAATCAGCAACACCCCAGCTCGTGGCTGTCCAAGGCTTCCATTTTGAAGATTTTCAGAAAGCGGATGGTGCAGAGCGAAATGGTGCTGGAGAGGAGACTTTGGGGTTAAAGTGTTTGTGAACTTTGTGAACCTGTATAGGTAAACCATCATCAGAGACCTCCTTGCAATGTATATGAAGTTGGTAAGGTGCCAGGATGGTTTGTTTAAGTATTGTTAATGTTAATCACACAACACTGGCTTTTTAATGACATCACAGATTGAAGGTTGTTAATGGAAAATTTGAAAACCTTGCATCATGTGCATCTTAGGACGTACCCATCGTAATATAGAAACCTATTCCTAAGCAAGGCCATTTTAATTGCTCAGTTGATAGCATCTGGAATAGATGTCCTCTGAGATGAAGGCCTCACAGTTTGAAAATTTGGGGATTATTCTTTGTTTTGTTGAACAGTGTAGTCTGTGGTTTGTCAACTTTTTAGCTGTTCAATTTTATAAGGACAAAAATACTGTGTTAACAAATCGGATCCGGGGTGATTGTAATCACTCGAATTTGAATACTTAGGGAATTTTAAAAATGTGGTAAAAAGCATGAGAAAGATGTAACTGTGAATGTGTTAACATTGTTGACCTCTCATTGGCAACCTTACCTAATAGATAATTACCATTTACAATCAAGGTCCTAATTGCTGTTGATTCTAACAATGTGCGTGAGTATCTCTTTGACTTGATATACAAGGTATGTGCAAGGTGCGATAATGACACTACCAGAGTGCTAAAGCATTGAGCCTATAGCATATCATCCTGGACCACATTATAAGAGTAGGAATAGGAGTATGGTATCAGATTTAGGTTACTTGTACAAATTTGTTTTTAGCAATGATTGGTTAAATGCAAGGGTGGCTGTGTGCAAGAATACAGTTTGCTTAGTAATGTATGTCAGATTATGTAACCAAAAAAAAATGATGTCTAAACAGTGCCATTATTCAGAGCCTATATTGACTCTCCCACATGTGTATGTTCTGAAATAAACAACTTAAACAGACCTTGGTGTTTTCTCTTGACTGTGTGTAGTAGACTTGGGCATTCTTGTGGACGAACACGTTTTTGTCCGAATTTTAGGTAATGTATCCATTCATATGAAAGATGAATGGACGAATGCAAATGACTACGAATGCAATGAACAATGAATTGCTTGTTGGACAAAATTTTCTTCATGCAATTCGATCTTTCCTTCATTTAGTTGGCTACAAGGAGGGAGCTTCCGGCTTCAATATTTAAATCTCACAATATCCCCCTCACCCTAATGTATATAGTCCTATGGAGGTAAGTATGACCCCCCCATATTACTATAAGAGTGGTTAAATCCTCCCTCCTGCCTCTACCCTCTGTGATGCCAGTAGGGTTATGTCTACTAAACAGATAGCAGCCAGTGGCTGTCATAAGAAAAGACTAGCAACTGGGCAGTTCTTGAAGCCAAGATGCTAATCCAATATCTCCCCATGGTGGCCCACTGAATAGATTAATTAACAGGTAGGGTCTCTAAAAGCAAAAAGGTGAACACAATGCTGATGATAATGGAGGGGTGGACCTATTATGTGAAGATGGATTATTATTTTCAATGGTATTTTTTTGCGTGTTTTTTTTTTTGCGGTTCGGTCCTTTCTTAAATTTTAATAGTTTGACACAACCTTATGGAATTTTATTTGGACTTCTTGGGTTTGAAGAAAAGGAGATGGAAGAAAAAAGAAAACATAAGTAAGTATGATTTTTATTTATTTTACAGGTATTTTCATTGACCCCCTCACTATTATTATGGTATTTTTAAAGGGCAAAGTAATCTTTATTATTAGCCCCCACCACTGCCAATGGGTGAGGGCTGGGGGGACACTTTGTCCCCCCGTTCATTTTGTTTAATAGACCAGGTGGACACTAGGTCAATCTCCACTTGTGGGGCACTGGTGGATGCACTAGAGGGACTTAGTTAATTAATTTATTAGATGACCACCATTGGGGCATGTTGGACCTGTGCCATGTCCCACTTTATTGGATTAGGGACTGGCCAGTGGCTGCTCACTGTTTAGTATACAATGCCCATACTGTCAGCACGGCGGGTAGGGGCATGGAAAAGGATTTAACCCTTATTTACTATTACTAAATATTTATTACTTAGTATTGGTAAAAGTTTTTTGAAATACCAAAATTACACAAAGTAAGGTTTTCTTTTTGTAATTTTTGTCTTTCAGCTTCTAGTAGATAGCCCCTAATCCTTGTGAAATTGCCATAAGGATACCAAAAAGGAGCTCTTTGGTAAAAGCTCCCTGTTGATACCCTTAAATATGGAAATCCACAAGGGTACCACTTGTAACTAGCGCACTGACAGCCACGTCTTGCACTGCAGAGGTATTTTTTTTTAACTATTTGCCCACTAGTTGCTAGTTAAATCCAGGCCCAGATTTGAAGCTTTAGGTCAGGATTTCAGTCCTCCGACGTCCATTGAGGGCCAGAAATGCAAAATCCAGACATTGATAAATAGCATGTGCAATGTCCGAAATTTGCAGTCTGAATGCCCCATTTGTAACCGAATGGTTTTGCCCTATTCGGTACAAGCCAAATCAGGCTTTAGTGTATAACTGCAAGGATTATTCTCTACAATGAGAAATAAAAGTACATTTAAAGTGGATTTCAAATTCAAGGTCAAAAAGTCAGCTAAGCTTTCAATTCGACTACTTTAACCTTAAATTTTAAATTCACTTTGAATTCTCACTTCACAAATATAATAAACTTGGGACTAGCGAAGGATATTTGGTAAACAGTGTCATATTCAGAAAAAGGAAATGACCAAAGCCGAAAAGTCCTTATTTACCCCATAATATGTATCATCTGTGTATCAGAGCTTTTAGCATTTTCTTCCATACAATAGTCCCCAGGCAGCCTTAGGCTGCCAATACCCTACTATTTTGGAGAAGAATGCTTGTGTTTGTTTCATCAAGATGTGAATAACCACTTTAAAACGAATGCCTTGATTTTTAATTATAATACATTCAGACACCAATGCATGCATGTCTTAGATTAAAACAAATTGAACAGATGCATTACACATTCTGCTTCTTGGCAACGTGTGATTTGCAACAATATGTTTAGGTCTGATTCACACACACAAAAACAGGTTGTTGCAAATTTATTACGGGACTGGCACAATAGTTACTCATTTTTTTTGGCAGACACTAATGGAAATATAGCCTATTCTAATGAACAGTTCCAGTTATTCGGCACTTCAGGTGCACATTTAAACATATGTACGAAATATGTAACAAAGGAATTGCTTTGTTTTGTTGTTTTAATTTTCACAGTTTATGTTAAAATTCCTGGAGAATTAATAGCGACCAAACAAGCTTATTCCTGTAATCAGTCATTTTTGATCACTAAAAGTGCACCTGTCATTGAAAAACAGCTTTAATTCAATAGAAAACTTGTCTGACTTGTCTAGATAATTCTAGGTACTGTATATAGGATATGCAAATTTATATATTATTATTTTAAAGAACAAATAGAGGAAATAAAATAAAATAAACCATTTCTGATTAATACACTGAGTCAATGTTACAGGAATAACCCCATCAATTTTATCTCATTACTTTTGTTAGCATATTTCCTTGCATTTGCATTTTTCGTATTTTAAACGAAATTGAAAGGTTCTCCGGCACACTTAATCTTAAATTGGTGGTCCATGAAATCATCAGCTTCACAAGAATAATTATTTCACATTCATTGCAATAGGACCATGGAGCATGGGGAAGGAAGCCACCTGTTTACCTCTCTGTATAATGACAGCACGCGAAGTCTACAGTTCCTTATGAGAATTGTTTAGCAGACCTGGGATGACAATTGCTATGGAAACCCATTGTTGTACAAAATAATATTTTCCAAAACATTTAAACTTCCAACTGCCCTCTGCATTCGGAGCCACTAGATTAGGGGTTCCCAAAAGGTAGATCCACAGGTGTTATAGAACTACAACTCCCATGATGCATCACATGCCTTTAGAATGATTCAGAATGACAAAGCATCATGGAAGTGGTAGTTGTTTTTCAACATCTGGGCACCTTTTGGGCACCCCTGCAATAGGTAATACTTTGCGATTCCACTTTTCAAGAACATCAGTGACGAACAGCATTGTGGATGAAAATGCTGTGTGCACTTACCCATCAGGTGGTTCTTATCCTCATCATAGCCTTTTCTTATTGTCTGAGTTCCATTGCCGTTATCCATTAAAGCCAGCTTTATCATCCTTCCATCTCCCCCACAGTCATACTTTCCTATAATTTTTAGGTTTTCTCTAATTTCCTTGAGCCCATTAACCTGTCCCTGTCTTTATCAGCCATATTCTCTATTTTTACCATTACTACATCCCCATAAACATAGCCTTCATCATGGCTATAGGAAGCGATGGGATGGGGGGATGGGGACAAATCACGACCTTGAAGTTTATTTTAAGAGTTTGTTATCTTCTCCTCAAGACTTTTAAAACACTTACATTTCAACAAGATGCAAAAATATCAATAGAAAGACTCTTTTTGAAGAATTTTTTTTAATTTGATTGGGTAGCTTAAAAGGATTTTATAGGCTGTTAGATCACATCATCTCAATGAAATATTCTGGGTGCCATGCATAGGCGTGCGCAGCCTATTGCATTAGGGTGTGCACCCTAAAGCACAAGCACACGCCGTGTATATATATGTATGTATGTATATATATATATATATATATACATATGTATATATATATATATATATATATATATATATTTACACACATATATACACACACACATACACTGCTGTGTGTGTGTGCTGTGTCAGGGTGCTGTTAGTGTGATGTGTGTGTGAGGGTGCTGGTAGTGTGCTATGTGGGTGAGGGTGTTTGTGTGTGTGTGCGCTTGTGAGGGTGCTGTTAATATACTGTGTGTGAGGGTGCTGTCTGTGTGTGTGTGTGTGTGTGTGTGTGTGTGCTTTTGAGGGTGCTGTTAATGTACTTTGTGTGAGGGTGCTGTTTGTATGTGAGGGTACTGGTAGTGTGCTGTGTGTGTGTTTGTTAGGGTCCTGTTTGTGTTTGTGAGGGTACTGTTAGTGTGCTGTGTGTGTGTGTGAGGGTGCTGTTTGTGTCCTGTGTGTGAGGGTGCTGTGTGTGTTTGTGAGGGTGCTGTATGTGTGTTGGTGCTGTGTATGTGTGTGGATGCTGTATGTGTGTAGGTGCTGTGTATGTCTGTGGGTGCTGTATGTGTGTAGGTGCTGTGTATGTCTGTGGGTGCTTTATGTGTAGGTGCTGTATGTGTGTAGGTGCTGTGTATGTCTGTGGGTGCCTTATGGTTGTAGGTGCTGTATGTGTGTAGGTGCTGTGTATGTGTGTGGGTGCTGTATGTGTGTTGGTGCTGTGTATGTGTGTGGGTGCTCTATTTGTGTAGGTGTTGTGTATGTCTGTGGGTGCTGTATGTGTGTGGGTGTTGTGTATATCTGTGGGTGCTGTATATGTGTGGGTGCTGTATGTGTGTTGGTGCTGTGTATGTCTGTGGGTGCTGTATGTGTGTGGGTGCTGTATGTCTGTGGCTGCTGTATGTGTGTTGGTGCTGTGTATATGTGTGGGTGATGTATGTGTGTAGGTGCTGTGTATGTGTGTGGGTGCTGTATGTGTGTAAGTGCTGTGTATGTCTGTGGGTGCTGTATGTGTGTGGGTGCTGTATGTGTGTAAGTGCTGTGTATGTCTGTGGGTGCTGTATGTCTGTGGGTGCTGTATGTCTGTGGGTGCTGTATGTGTGTAGGTGCTGTGTATGTCTTTGGGTGCCGTATGTGTGTGGGTACATTACTTAATATCCCCCCTCCCTTCTTACTTTATGTAGGGAGGGGGGATTCTTGTTCCTTGCTGCCTTCCCTGGTGGTCCAGTGGAGGTGGGGGCAGATTACTTAATATCCCCCTCCCTTATTACCTTATGTAGGGAGGGGGTAT